TACACCTACCCTGGTTCTTACGAGCATCAGTGGGTACTGGAGTCAAGCCCGGCCCGGCACACACCAGACCCAGTCCATACTTGTGCCGAGGTACACTGCAGCCATATCCAAATCAACACAGCCCCCACTGCAGCCCCTTGTTCTCACCAGTGGGAACTACAACCCAGCCAGGGCATCCCCTTTGTTCCCAACCAGGTCTGTTCCCAGCCACAGATTGTTGTGCATGCCAATGGTTGTCCTGACCCAGCTTGGCATAGTCCCTCAACTGTCAATGGCCTTTGACTTTGAATGCTGTAGCCTAACCTACCTGGCCTGCCCCCCTCAGTCCCAACTCTGGTGGTAAGTGCTGGAACCTGGCCCTGGTTAGTCTACTCCGATCCCTGGCTCATGTAAACCAGTAGGTGTGATACCCTATCCCAGCATGAGCTGTACTCCAGCCTGGTTTCTGCACTTGACAGTGAGGTAAGATTTACTCAGCCCGGCCTGGTGTGCTCCCTTCCAAAATCAACTGGAGCTATCTTGCCCAGCTTACCTTCCTCTCTGTTTCTTCTCCTCTCTGTATATCTGACTTTGCAATAAAAATAAACAAAACCATTTTAAAAAAAAGAAAAAAGCCACCAGATCTCAGTGCCCTGGCTTAACTGCAAGTACAGTGGCCCTGAAGTTGGAGTCCCTCAAGATTCATTCCTCTACTACACACACAGTGGCCTTATCCATGGATGTCCCTAGGCAGTAATTTCATACCCCCAAGACCACAGAGCTCACAGTCTGGCTTGTCCAAGATGGTGGCGGTGAGCAGAGCCAGGGACCGAGCAGAGTTCCAGAGAGATCCCTTCACAGTGTGCTTATCACCAAAGGAGAAAACCCTCAAGTCTAAGCAAGGGCAGGGCTCACCCCACTTGGCAGTGGTGGCTGGAGCTAGGGCCCCAAGGACTGAGTCAGACCTAGCTCAGGTACCCATAGCTGCCGCCATGCTGCTGGTATATTTTGTATTTTAAAGATATCAAGGGCCCGGCGCGGTGGCGCAAGTGGTTAAGTCCTCGCCTTGCATGCCCGGGATCCCATATGGGTGCCGGTTCTAATCCCGGCAGCCCTGCTTCCCTTCCAGCTCCCTGCCTGTGGCCCGGGAAGGCAGTCGAGGACGGCCCAAAGCTTTGGGACCCTGCACCCGCGTGGGAGACCCGGAAGAGGCTCCTGGCTTCGGATCGGCATAGTATCGGCCCGTTGCGCTCACTTGGGGAGTGAATCATCGGATGGAAGATCTTCCTCTCTGTCTCTCCTCTCTGTATATCCGCCTTTCCAATGAAAAATAATAAAAATAAATCTTTAAAAAAAAAAAAAGATATCAAGAGACAGAGGAATCCTTCTAATTGCCGATTCACTCTAAATTCAGTAGCTGTGGCTGAGCCAGGCTGAGGCCAGGAGCCCTGAACTCAATCCAGTTCTCTTTACAGGCTGTGTGTTCTGAGGAAGCTAGAGGGGAAATGGAGCCGGGTCCCAGATCATCCCTTGTGGGATCCAGTGTCCCTTGCAGGACTGGAACCTTGCTATGTCTATTAGCTTCTTTTCGAGTCTTCAAATTTGTTGAGACAACATATTCTCAGTAATAGTCAACCTACGAATACCCCCAAATAGAGCATATCATATACAAACTTCTGCACTTTGCATTTTCCACTTTTGTTTAGAGATCTTTCCAAATTAATATAGAGAGCTACCCCATTTATTTTTAAGCTTAAAAAAACTGAAATGAAGAACCTCATGAGTTATTTTACCGCTGTGTGGTGGACTGTACCTGTAACAGAAATCCACACCAATGTTTTATGTAGGAATCATGAGTAAATGCTTCTGTAGCTACTACCACAATGTGTGCCCTAGAGCTGGGGCCAATTTCAGTCCTTCTAGCATATGCAGAATTTCCTTTTCTTCAGTTTTACCAACACAAATAGTGTTGAACTTCTAGACTCACACCACATTCTTTTTCAGTTCTAAAAAAAACAGCAACCCAGAGAATCAAGATGGCAGAGTAGGGTAAGGACAAATTTAAACCGACAGAGAAACATTAGCCAGTGAGAAACAGAGAGGGCACATTCCAGGAAATAAGAGAGGACAGAACAACAGCAGAGGGGTACCTGGAGACTGACAGACACAGGAAGGCAGTAGACATAACGGTGTGGTGTTGCAGCGACTGATATACCCCGGCAATATTTGGTTAACCATTATCTGAACTCCACCAGCAGCCAGAACTCCACCAGCAACAAGGTGAGAAAGGCTGTTAACTGGGAGCTCAGGAGGTGAACCCAAACAAAAAATAAACTGCTTGTCCTGCTGGTCTGTTTGGTTTTGTCAGGAGCAGAAAGAGAGCAGCAGATCCCAGACAGGTGGTGTGGAAACAGGGTAGATTTCACAGCCCAGTCTGCCCTCTAGAGCCGAATTGGGCACCATTTTGTATAGGGAGGCAAAAGTTATGGACAACAGTGCACATGCACTGAGCTGGGAGTGAACTGCAACAACGTGGCATCCTACAGGTTCCACCCAAGATAGGTCTGAGTAGCCCTCAGACGTGATGGCCAGCAGATCAAGAACTCTAGTAGTGGCTCATCAGGTGTCATTTTGCACAGTGTGGAAATCTTTAAGACTGCAGCGACAACAGTGAGCTGCACATGAGCTGAGCTGGGAGCAACCTCACTGAGCTCAGTGCATTGTAGTGGTCCCACAGGGAAAATAATACTGACTTTGGCATCGTATGAATCAAAATAGGTCTGTGGGGACCCTCAGACCTAAGAGCCAACAGGTTCCAACAAGATCATCATCAACAACATTCTAATTATATAGGACACCTGGTGTATTCCTATTCCTGGGAACTCTAACAGGAACTGGGAAAAAGGTTGTACAGGCAATGGTGCAGCCTCAGCACAGTATCACAGGAGGTGGAGACTGGTGAGCCCAGAGCTGGGGCTAGAGACCATGGTGGAAATCTAACATAAGAACCCAGACCTGGAACTCACTGGAGGGAGTGGCACAACTGACTGCAAACAAAGAGCCGTGTACCAACCACAATAAGTAAAATTGTACTGTAGACCTGTGAGTGACACAGCTTAGAAGGAGAAGACTCTAACTAGAAGTACATTGACCAAGAGCAAAAGAGGAGGCAAAGCCACAATTAATATTACTGAAGACTGCTCTGCAAAGGAGCAAAAGCCTTTGCCAACTTCAGAGTTTACTGAGGAAGACATTGAGAAAATGGGGATACACAATTCAAAACACTTGTTATAAAACTTCTTATCAACAATGGAACCTGTCATTGATACTGTCTCAACCCAGATGTTTCGAAGAATGGAACTTGCATTATTTTTAACATATTGTTTACCCAATACTATGTCAATTAATTCCATAATGTTGTATATTGATACTGAGGCCTTGTTGGGGCTTTTAACTGACCGGATCTTTACTCTGTTAGACCTATCTTCAGACCATAGAAGGTCTCCCCAAGAGGCCACTGAACTTCTCTGGACAATAAGACGCTGAACTTTATGCTAGGCATGTGTTTGCAAGCAATGAATCTCAACTGAACTTGAACTATGGTTATGCAACAAGGTGGAGGAATCCACCATGGGGGGAGGGGTATGGGAGGGGTGGGGGGAATCCCCAGCGCCTATAAAACTGTACTACATAATACAATGTAAGCAACAATAAAAAAAAAAAATGAGTAACACGAAAAGCATGCATTCAAGGAATATGTCACACTGGAAATGAATCAAATGAAAGCTGATATAAGATGAAGAATACAGTGGAGCAAATTAAAAATACATTGGAGAGTCTCCAAAATAGAATGAAGCAAGCAGAAGAAAGAATCTCATAATTAGAAGATATTTCTTGTCACCAGGGGAAAACAAACAAACAAAAGGGCTGGAAACAGAGCTGGATCAGACTTAAAAAAAAAAAAGTATTCAAGAATTGAAAGACACTATTATAAGCCCAAATATAAGAGTTATGGGAGTCCCAGAAGGTGCAGAAAGAGAAACTGGGATTAAAGGTATATTCAATGAAATAATAAGAAAGAATTTCCCTAATCTAGAGAAAGAATTGGGAAACAACATCCAGGAGGGGCACAGAACCCCTACAGACTTGACCAAAAGTGATCTTCACCACGATACATGATGATCAAACTCTCTTCAATCGAACATAAGGAAAAAATCCTTAAGTGTGCACGTGAAAAAAATCAATTGACATATAAAGGAATGCCAATTAAATTCACAGGAGATTTCTCACAGGAAACTCAAGAAGAGAATGGAGTGACATATTCCAGATTCTAAAAGCAAAAAATTGTCAGCCTAGGATAATTAACCCAGCAAAACTTTCCGTTGTCTTTGAAAATGAAATCTTTGAAAATGAAATAAAATTCTTCCACAGTAAAGAAAAGTTAAAAGAATTTGCCTCTTTCAAACCTGTCCTACAAATGATAAAGAGATTGTCTTGACAGAGAAAAGGAATAGCACCCACCAAAACCAAAGGCAAGTGAAGAACATCCCAGTAAAATAACAACATCCCAGTAAAGAAGAACATCCCAGTAAAATAACAACAGAAGACTAAATTAACGAACAACCCATTGCTAAAATGACAGGACCAAATTACCACCCATTCATATTAACCCTTAATGTAAACGGCTTAAACTCGTCGATCAAACATCATAAATAACAGACTGGATTAACATAACAAAACCCATCTATTTGTTGCCTCCAGGCTAGCTGCTAACGTAAAGACCCGCGTGAGGAGGAATGGCTTTTCAGCCACCTTTGCCAATCACCCTCTCGGAACCGCTTTCTCACCATTTTTTCTCCCCCGGTCTGGCCTCAGCAGCCTTCTGCGATTGCCACAGGCTCTGCCCAATCAAAAAACCCGTCACCCCTAGAAAGGGCAGGGATTGGTCCTACGTCCCTGAGGCTCCCGTAGGGGGCGGGGCTTATAGTTTATTTGCGTAGGCAAGCCAAATACTGGCAGAAGTCCTCGGTGTTGTTGCCGGAAGTGGAGGAAGAGGCTTGTAATGGCGGCCGCGACAGAAATACAGGTGAGTGCCTCCGCCTTACCTAGGGGTTTTAGTGAAAATTAGAAGTAGGGGCCACACAGGTGGAGACGAAGCTGGGCGTCGGGCTGGGGAGGCGCGGACGCGCGGGTTGGTCGCCGGGATCCGCGAGGACTCGGCCGGGGCTGTGGTGGGAGCAGCCCAAACCGGCCCCGACCGCAGCTCGTCCTCCTCGTGCAGGTCCCGGGGGACAGTGCGGAGGAAGGGGTGCTGACGGCGGCCGAGGAGCTGGCGGCCCAGAAGCGCGAGCAGAGACTGCGCAAATTCCGGGAGCTGCATCTAAAGCGGGTGAGTGATTCCGGAGGGGCGTCCGGAGGGCATCTGCCTGGGCCCCTGGGGTGTGGTCAGGGGACCAGGACGCCACAGCTAGCATCTGGCCCCGGGCGTGTGGTCAGGAGACCAGCATGGCACATTTGGCACCTGCCCCAGCCACAAGGGTGTGGTCAGGAGATCAGGACAATACAGCTGACACTTGCCCAGGCGCTGAGCATGTGGTCAGGGAATAGGCCCACAGGCCTGGGGCAACTTGATTGCTTAGAACGCTCGCCTGCAGGTCGTGGCCATGGCTTTGAGAACACACCCTAGTGCCCCAGCCCCAACCCGGCCACATTGGGCTTAATTTATTTCTGTTTGAAAAGTTCTGTTTCTGCTCCAACAAAAATAAATGTACCTAGGGAAATAAGAGCTGAGGGCTGGAGACCGCTGGGTCACTTGGGAGTCATCCACAAGCCCTTCTAGGAAGGCAGCGAGGTGGCCTTGCTCTCAGAGGCTAAAGTCTCTGCTGTTTCATGGTTTTAGAATGAAGCTCGGAAATTAAATCACCAGGAAGTTGTGGAAGAAGATAAAAGACTCAAGTTACCTGCAAATTGGGAAGCCAAAAAAGCTCGTTTGGAGTGGGAACTTCAGGAAGAAGAAAAGAAAAAGGTGAGGCCCGTCTCTCCATTGTTCTGCTGAGTGGTGTCTTCCTTCTGCTGGGTCCTAACCGGGCCGCGGGCTTGGGCTCCTTATCCTGGAGCAGGTGTCAGAGCTAAACGCCAGAGATCCCAACTCTGCTCTTGCCCAGCCATCATGTTTCACAGAATTATTATTTTTTTAATGCTTCTTTTTAAAAATTTTCATCTTGAAGGGCAGAGTGAGAGGTGCAGCTATGAACTCCTGTCCACACCCCGTAGTGCCCTCCCAGCCAGGGCTGGGTCAGGCGGAAGCCAGGGGCCTAGAGCTCTTTGCTGGCCCCGCACGTGGTTAGTAGGGGCTCAAGTAGCTGGGTGGTCGTACTTCTGAAGATGTATTAGCTGAAAATGGATGGAAGTGGAGGAGCTGGGATCCCGGCGTCCGAAGTGGTGGTTTGGCACAACAGCACCCACCCTCAGGCCAATTATTGAACTGTTTTGTATTCCAGTTTTCTCAGCTGTAACAATGGGATTACAATCAGTTATTTGAGTTAGTTATAAATTAAGTGAGTTAATGTTTACAGATTGTTTAAAACAAGACCTGACACATGTGTTCGCTTATATCCCATAGCAGATTCCCAAGTTTTTTTCAGATATTAGTCATTCTTCTTAAAGTGTTCCTTGATGTCTTTGTTGACTGTTTCTTGATTTAAACTCAATCAAATAATTACTTATAACATAATTGTAGGTATTGGCTTTTCTCTTGAGACATTTGAGAGGCAGAGACTGAGCACACTCCAGCCTACCTTCTGGTTGACTCCCCAAATTCCTGTCGCTGCGAGGGCTGGGCCAGACCAGAACCCGGACCTGGGAGCTCAGTGCTGACTCCTGGCTGGGTGGCGGGAGTCAGCCGCTTGGGTTCCCCTGCTGCGTCCTGCAGTGTGCGTGAGCAGGTCACCGCAAGCAGGGGCGGAGCAGGTCTCCCACCTGGGCCTCTGCTGTAGGATGTGGGCGTCCAGGCTGGCGTTTGGGCTGGCCCAAGTGCCTGCTCTGTATCTCTTCTTAGGAATGTGCAGCGAGAGGCGAAGACTATGAGAAGGTGAAACTGCTGGAGATCAGCGCAGAGGATGCCGAGAGATGGGAGAGGAAGAAAAAGAGGAAAAACCCCGATCTTGGATTCTCGGGTAACCTTGACATTGGTGGAACTTGACTGTTGACCTGGCCTGTTAGGCAGGAGTTGCCTGCAGCATTGCTGGCGTTAAGAGGATGTGCGCGCTGAGCTGCTATCCTAAGCCCAAGAAAAATGCAAATCCCTCACTGGGCAAAGTAAAAAAAGTCCTGTACTTCAGCCAGGATCCTGTTACTGTTTTGTTTAAGCTGGGCATAAATTAATGTCTTGTGTATGCATTACTTAGTCATGCTTTTTTCCAGCGTGGTACCGAGCAAGGAAATGCATCAACTCTAATTCTCATTTTGTTTTTAGATTATGCTGCCGCCCAGCTACGTCAGTACCATAGACTGACCAAGCAGATCAAGCCTGACATGGAGGCCTATGAGAGACTGAGAGAGAAGCAGTGAGTGCATAAGTACCCGCGGGTCCCCTTTCCGTCCTGAGGAGGCGTGGGTGTGTGGGTGCATGTGTCTCCCTCAGAGACCTTTCCTGCAGTGAGGAGGCTGCGTCAGCACTCTGAGAGTGACCTCTGTTCACTACCCAGCAGGTACGGCTAACCACCTGGCTGGACTTCGCAAAGGCCGAGTACTGAATGGTTAGCCCCAGAGTCTCTGTTCGCCACACTTGGAGTTAGGACAGTTAGGATGGTGCAAAGGTGGCTGCTATGGCAGCCACCGTGACTAGGTGTGACTGTGCCAGTGAGTGCATTGTGGGCAGTGGAGCGTCTGTATCTCATACAGAATGCTGGTTCAGGTCTCAGCAGTGCTGTGTCTCTGATCCAGCTTCTTGCAAGAACCTGGAGGAGGCTGTTCATGGCTCTAGTTCTTTTGTTGTTGTTGTTCTTTGAAAATATATAAGTAAAAGTCAAAAATAAAGATTTATGTATCTTTTTATTGGAAAGGCAGATATACAGAGAGGAGGAGAGACAGAGAAGAATATCTGTCTGATGCTTCACTCCTCATGTGGCTGCAGCGGCTGGAGCTGAGCCAATCTGAAGCCAGGAGCCAGGAGCTTCTTCTGAGTCTTCCTCACCATTGCAGAAGTCCCAAGGCTTGTGGCTGTACTCTACTGCTTTCCCAGGCCACAAGCAGGGAGCTGGATGGGAAGTGGAGCTGCTGGGATTAGAACCTGCGTCCATATGGCATGCCAGTGTGTTCAAGGCGAGGCTTTAACCATTACGCTATCATGCTGGGCCCTTTTTTTATTTTACCTTTTAAAAGATTTTTTTTTTTATTGGAAAGGCAGATATGCAGAGAAGGAGACACAGAAAGAAAGATCTTCCATCCACTGTTTCACACCCCAAATGGCCACAAAGGCCAGAGCTGAACTCATCTAAAGCCAGGAGCCAGGAACCCCCTCCAGGTCTCCCACACAGGTGCAGGGTCCCAAGGCCTTGGACTATTCAACTGCTTTCCCAGGCCACAAGCAGGGAGCTGGATGGGAAGTGGAGCAGCAGGGATATGTACTGGCAGCCATATGAGATTCTGTTGCATGCAAGGGGGGGACTCTAGCCACTAGGCTACCACCCCGGGCTCATGGCTCTAGTTCTTGAGTTCCTGCCACCCATGTGGGAGACGTGGGTGAAATTGTTAACTCCTGATTTTGGGCTTGGCAAGCCCCCATTTCTGGGGGCACTCGGGGAGTAAAAGTAATGGATGTGAGATCTCTGCCACGCTGTCTTCCAATTGAAGAAATTTGAAAAAAAAAAAAAAACTCACAACCATCGCCAGGTGGTGGACTGTCATTTGCAAACCCTGCTGTAGCGGGGAGAGCTCCTGTTCGGAAGCTCTCATTCCAAGCTTGAATAACATTTTTATGGCTGTGGTAAGCCTGTGGCCCCGAGGCGTGGGAGTCGGTTGCTTTGGTCCTTTCTGCTTCTGTATTTCCTTTAAAAGAACACCAACAGTGACAAGAAGCCCATGAAGGTTGGGGCCCGTGGGGAACGTGTGTTGCGTGCATTTTCTCTCCTGTGATGAGAGAGCGTCGGTGTGCAGCTTGGCAGCGGAGTGCTCCTGGTGTGACCGGAAGTCTGTTTTGCTGTCTTTTCAGTGAAGAAGACTTTTTCCCGACAGCCAACAGTCTTCTGCATGGCACCCACGTGCCCTCCGCGCAGGAGATCGACAGGATGGTGCTCGATCTGGAGAAGCAGTGAGTACCCAGAGGGCACTGGGGTCTGCACGCTGGTCACAGCGAGGGCTGGGAAGGTGCTTGAACACAGTCGGACAGAGACGGTAGCCGACAGGCGGGCGAGGTGCATTTGTTCGTAGAGTCCCCGTGGTTTGGGATGGAAATGCCAAGTGTTGGTGGGGAAAGGTCTGAAGAAAGTCAGGGTTTAACAGTGTAACAACTCTTCCAGTATTTGATTTGAAGAAGCAAAAATGTAATTAGGATGCCTCAGTTATTCTTGTGTGTGCATTTTATTTTTTAAGATTTATTCATTTTTATTGGAAAGGTGGATATACAGAGAGGAGGGGAGACAGAGAGGATGAACTTCCATCTGATGGTTCACTCTCCAAGTGGCCACAATAGCTGGAGCTGAGCCAATCTGAAGCCAGGAGCCAGGAACCTCCTCCAGATCTCCCACGTGGGTGCAGGGTCCCAAGGCTTTGGGCTGTTCTTGACTGCTTTCCCAGGCCACAAGCAGGAAGCTGGATGGGAAGCGGGGTTGCCGGGATATGTACCGGCCCCCATATGGGATCCTGGCACGTTCAAGGCGAGGATTTTAGCCACTAGACTATTGCACCAGGCCCTCCTTGTGTTTTAACCATGGCATTTGTGAGTATTAGAACAGAGTGAATGTATAATTGAGTGGTCTGGCCATGGTTATTAGTGTAACAGTTATCTTCTAGGTGATAGAAGATCACCTAGAACCGGCGCCCATATGGGATCCCGGCGTGTTCAGGGCGAGTTGGGGGCCGTGTTCTCCACAAGGCCCCGGGGCTCCTGTCAGAGCATTCTGAAGACGAGTTTGTGTTTGCTGTTTCACGGTACGGACCCAGAGCTGTCCTGGCCGGCAGCATCCGGTCGTGTTCTAGATGGGCCATTTCTATCCATAACTGTTCAACTAGGAGTTGTTACGATCGGAAAAGAAGTTTCAAATTTTGAAAACTTTTCTTCTTCCTCCTAGAATTGAAAAGCGAGACAAATACAGCCGGAGACGCCCTTACAATGACGATGCAGACATTGACTACATTAATGAGAGAAACGCCAAGTTCAACAAGAAAGCAGAGCGATTCTACGGGAAGTACACAGCTGAGATTAAGCAGAATTTGGAAAGAGGAACAGCCGTTTAGCCCTTCAGGGACTGTTTTTATAAACTTGGCAGGGGGGCGGTGAACCTTTCTGCTAGCAAATGGAGTTTGCCTTGAAACCAGAGCCCAGTCTATGCCTCTTCCCACCCAGCATTTAGAAATAAATGTTTTTTTCTTAAACATACTTTCATGTATATTTTCACATTTTTGTGCTTGGATATATGATGTATTTCTTGTAGTGAAATTGTTTTGTAAAAATGTACTTTGTATAAGTCCCAATTATATTTTCAAATGTACTTTAAATGTGTAAAACTGTTTAATCGTTGAAGCATTTTGGGTTTCAGCTTGCTGGCAGCGCACACAGTACTTCTGGTGGTTCTGAGTGGTGTTGGGAACTGGACCAGTTCCAGAGTGGGACCGGGGAAGCAGCCGGCTGGTGGGCTCTGGAGGACCCTGGCCACGCGCTGGGCCCGGAGGGCTGTGCCCGACTTCCGTGGCCGCATGTGGCCAATGGCAGGGCGTCAGAACTCTTCCAGGGAATGTCAGCCTTATAAATTCCTTTTTTTAAAAAACTAATGCTTTATAATAAAATCCTAATAATGTTGACATTTAAAATAAGTGCATATATGCAGATTTTTTGTTATGAGAAACTATTTATTTGTTTATTTTTAAAAAGATTTATTTATTTATTGGAAAGTCAGATATACAGAGAGGAGGAAAGAGGAAGATCTTCCGTCCGATGATTCACTCCCTAAGTGAGCACAACGGCCGGTGCTATGCCGATCTGAAGCCAGGAGCCAGGAACTTCCTCCGGGTATCCCACACGGGTGCAGGGTCCCAAAGCCTTGGACCGTCCTCAACTGCTTTCCCAGGCCACAAGCAGGGAGCTGGATGGGAAGTGGAGCAGCCGGGATTAGAAACGGGGCCCATATGGGATCCCCGTGTGTTCAGGGTGAGGACTTTAGTCACTAGGCCACACCGCCAGGCCCAAGGTTTGTTTATTTTTATTTGAAGGGCAGAGTTAGAGAGGAAAGAGAACTTCCACCTGCTGGTTTGCTTCCCAAGTGGCAGCAGTGGCTAGAGCTGAGCTATTGGACCGCTGCACTGGCCCATGTTATACGTGTACTGTACAGAGTATATGTTGCATATATATAAAAACCCAAAGGAAAAGATTATGCTTTATTTTATTTTACAGATTTGTTACTTTAAATTTTTTATTGGAAAGGCAGATTTACAGAGAGAAGGAGACAGATCTTTTGTCCACTGATGGACTTTGCCGGTGGCCTCAACAGCCAGAGCTGAGTTGATCCGAGTCAGGAGCCAGGAGCTTCCTCTGTGTGGGAGATCACCCTTGGATATCCACCTGCTTGGCTTGTGTGGGAGGTCATAGGCACACGGGGTCCCCAGGGGAACCCACGACTATGGTTTTGACTAACCGAGACCTCAGCCTGGCCTGTGCACGGCACGCCGTGAGAGTGGTGTGCTGCATTCTAGTTTCTCTGTTCTTGGGCGAGCTGTGCTGGAACATCCTTGATAAGCAACTCCAAGAAGTCAAGTGTGACCCATGAGGAACGTGGCCTGTGAGGTGGTTGGAGGGTGCAGAGAGACAGACATGCCTTCTAGCCAGTTAGTGTCATCGTTGGGTAGAAGTGTCAGGAACGCCCTTCTGCCTTCCCCTTTCCTAGTCTACAGAAGTTGTGCTTGCTTTACAATAAACGGGCATGCTCCATCACACTGTGCCCGGTGATTCTTGTGGCCAAAGGTCCCTGTTGCCTCATCCTCTTGGTGGTCTCGGGGGGCCTGCTGGTCAAATGCCTAGGACCTCTGAGTAATAAATTTCATTGTCAATGCATGGTTCAGTTTTAGGAAAAGGAACAGCTCAGTAAGTGTTACATTGCATATATCAATGGTTTTCTCTATAATCATCCACCTGGGGTGTTGGCATCTTATGGGTGGCTGTTTATATCCTGGCTGCTCTACTTCCCATCCAGCTCCCTGTTTGTGGCCTGGGAAAGTAGCAGAGGATGGCTCAAGTCCCTCGGACCCTGCACCCACTTGGGAGACCTGCAAGAAGCTCCTGGCTTTGGATCGGCTCAGCTCTGGCCATTGCAGCCACTTGGGGAGTGAGCCAGCAAATGGTAGACCTCTCCCGTTCCTTTTCTAACTCTGCCTTTGTAATAAGTAACCAGGCCTTGAGATGAGAGGGAATAAACTTGTTATAATAGCAGCAGAAATTAGGAGGCACAATTAAATGAGCAAGCACAGGAACTGGGTAGTGCCCTGCTAGGCTGTAGCTCCTGCTGGTATTGGGAGTGGAACTGACCAGGATGCTGGATTATTGGTGTGTGTTGGCTGTTGCAGACGACAGACGGAAACCTGTCCCTGCACTAGCTGGAATACACAAGAGTCAAGTCTGAGGTCACTCCAGGTGAAGTTTTTTTTTTTTTAAGATTTCTTTTATTTTCATTACAAAGTCAGATATACAGAGAGGAGAAGAGACAGAGAGGAAGATCTTCTGTCCGATGATTCACTCCTCAAGTGAGCGCAACAGCCGGTGCTATGCCAATCTGAAGCCGGGAGCCAGGAACCTCTTCTGGGTCTCCCACACGGGTGCAGGGTCCCAAAGCTTTGGGCTGTCCTTGACTGCTTTCCCAGGCCACAAGCAGGGAGCTGGATGGGAAGTGGGGCTGCCAGGACCAGAACCGGCGCCCATATGGGATCCCGGCGCGTTCAAAGTGAGGACTTTAGCTGCTATGCCACTGTGCTGGGCCCCCAAGTGAAGTTTCTTATGGAACTCAAACCCGGCCACAGGGGAAATCATGACATGTGGTGTGACCTTGGAGTGCATGTCGTAGGTCTGGGCCTCTTCAGTTGCTGATGCCCATGCAGTGGACACCATGCCCAGATGTACACAGGGGACATGGCAGCCAGCTCATGGAGGCCAGAAGAGGGCAGACATTGAGTGCCTCATCAGGACATGTTGGGCAGCTCTCCTGGCCAAGCTTTGCAGCAAGTGTCTGGATTTGTGGATGCGCTAAGGTGGACCGGCTCAGTCAACGGACCTTGGAAAGTTTCTCATCGCTGGAACAACAAAACCAACAATGTCTCAGCACGATCAGAAACACTCAATACCCTCGGAACACTCTTCCCCATGTCGGGGTCTCTAAGGCTCAAGTGACGACACCCCAATCCTGGGGTCTGGTGTAGTTTGATAGCAAGGAGTGGCCCCTTTCCGTTCGCCACCAATAGGCCAGGAGAAAAAGAAAGAAGTGAAATTCTGTGCTACTTTTCTCCATGTCTTAACCTTCCCCATGCTAATCAGTTGCCCTCATGGGCGTGTATTCTTTTCAGCCATGTGAACAATATTAAAAATAAAGTACAGGGGCGTGCAAAGCAAGAATCTCAGCTGCTAGGCCACCACGCTGGGCCCTATTTAATCTTATTTTAAAAGATTCATTTTATTTGTATTGGAAAGGCAGATTTACAGAGGTTAGAAACAAACATCTGTCTGCTAGTTCACTCCCCAAGTGGCCACAACGGCTGGAGCTGAGCTGATCTTCAACCAGGAGCCAGGAGCTTCTTCCAGGTCTCCCACTCGGATGCAGGGTCCCAAGGTTTTAGGCCATCCTTTACTGCTGTTCCAGGCAAGAAGCTGGAAGCCTGGATGGGAAATGGAACAGCCAGGACACATGGGATACAGGTGTGTGCAAGGTGAGGTTTTAGCCACTAAGCCGCTGCACTGAGCCCTGCCTTCCTGCTTTAAACAACAAAAGGGGAATGGCACATAGGAAACCAGGCTAAGGAAGAGAAGCACCGCCAGGAGAGGAGCAAAGTGTAACGCTGCGATTGGCCCAGCTTGCTGTCACGGTAGGCTCCGTTAGCTGAGGATACAGGGACAGTCGTAGGAGACCTGGGTATTGGCTCACATGCAAAGGCTGGACGGGGGAGCCGCAGAACTGTGGTGTTGGGCGGCCTGGAGGCTGGGGCGAGAGGAGCCCTGGGATCGACGAGGGGGAACTGGCGCCCCCACGTGGCCACTCAATGTGTTCTCCCACAGCTCACAGCTCAAAGTAAAAGACTTCCCCCGGCTTGGGTTAGAGAGGGCTCTTGTCTCCTAGAATATTAGGAGACAGGATAATAAAAGAGAATAATAGATAATAATAGGCTTAACACTACTTGGCTCTTGCCTAATTAATCTGACAAGACCGGAAAGAGTGAATTTCTCAAGTAATGGACTTCATTATAAAAGATCAGAGCAGGGGCTGGCACTGTGGCCTAGTGCCTTAAGCCACTCCCTGCAATGCTGGCATCCCATTTGGGCGCCACTTTGAGTCAAGTTGTTCCATTTCCAAACAGCAGGTGATGGCCCAAGTCCTTGGGCACATGCACCCATGTGGGAGAACTGGAAGACAGCCCTGGCTCTTGGCCTCAGCTTGGTACAACCCTGGACATTGTGGCCATTCGGGGAGTGAACCAGTGGATGGAAGATTCTCTCTTGTCTCTCTGAAACTCTGTCCTTAAAATAAAAACAAATAACCATTAAAAAAAAAAGATTTATATACGTGAAAGGTGGAGTTACAGAGGGAAGAGGAGAGAGAGAAAGGAAGAGAGAAAGAATCTTCCATCTACTGGTTCACGCCTCAAATGGCCACAATGACTAGAATGCCCAAGCCAGGAGCCAAGAGTTTCCTCTGGGTTTCTCATGTGGGTACAGGAATGTGGGTCATCCTCCACTGCTCGGCACCAGAGACTTAGCCTACTACATCACGATGCTGACCCCAAATAAAAATATCCAACACTAAGCTACCACGCCGGTTCTTGAACTTAACTTTTCTAATAAGTTAACACATCTTCAAAAAAAAAAAATCAATTTAGAGTAATGAAGAACTGATCTAAATGTTAGAATTAAGAAAAAAGGAACACATAAAAGGTACGCTATAACTCAACATGATCAGAAAATTAAGATGGGCATGTGGAGAAGACCCCCTGGGAACTTCTAGATGAGAAAACCACGTCTGAGGTGGCCTTCACTGCTGACTGTATGTCCCGGGGAAGGATGTCAACGGACGTGGAGATCGAAGAGACAGCATCTCAAACAAATCACACAGAATAAAAAATTAAAAAGCGCAAACAGGGCACTGGTAAAAATAAATACATATTCAAAAAAGATCAACCCAGATTTAG